TCCAACCAGGGGGTCAGCTCGTACGCCGTCTACCGGCGAGCCGAGCCGCACGAGTACGTGACGACGTTCCAGATCGTCAAGTCGGCCGACGGCCAGGTCGACGCCGTGTCCAACACGGACGGCATCACGGCTGTGGGCACGGCGCTGGGCCCGGACTTCCCCTACGGGCTGGTCGTGGTGCACGATGACGCCAACGAGCTGCCTGGCGGCGGGACGAGCGAGGATGCCAGCTTCAAGCTGATCAGCCTGGAGGAGATCTTGGGCGCCAAACCGCTCCAGTCGCTGAACCTGCTCGACGATGTCGACCACGAGTGGAACCCTCGCGCCTGAGCTGCTTCACATGACGGACCGGCGTGGAGCGATGCTAGGTCTCTAAGTAGGGAAGCGTACGCTCAAGATTTACCACTAGAGCGGAGAGTAATCTGTAATTGAATGGCCTGTTGCCCTGCGTTTCTAGTCCGTGAATTGTCCAGCAAGTTTACCAAGGCGTCATGCTCCAGACCACCCACGGTTTCGCATGGATTGTGTTGCGCCACGCAAGCGGCGAACAAAACTGCTTGGCAAGCGGGAGTCACCACCGACTCACCAGCGCACCAGGATTTATAGGTAGATAAAATTCACGACAGGACCTATTCTGGCAGTTCCGTTGCTTCACTTGTAGCCAAAGTGAAGCGCCTAGACACCATTGACGTGTAGAAAATATATAAAGCCTCCGTCATCACATCCTGCGTTGCTGTTCTTGCTTCTCCGGGCGCGTAAAAGAATTGGAAGATCCATGAAATCCTGGGACCAAGTGAGGCCATAAACCAAAGGCAAAGCGGGAAGGCACGGCCGGCACACAGATCCGCCACGTGGGTGTCGATCGACTCCCCAGCGTGTTCGCTGAAGTCCCTGCCCCACGCATCAAAATTCTCCTCGTTCCTTGCCACAAACACCCACGGAGGGTATCTCATCTAACAGAAGTGCTGGGCTCTTCCGGCCATTAAACCCTATCTCTGGACAAATCCATTTCTTCTCTGGGCGAGCCAAAATGCTCACCCCAGAACATCACGCTCACCATCTCCAGCAGGAGGTGGCCGCCTCACAACCTCTCGCTCGCCATCTGCGGGAGATGACTATCTCAGAGCGTCACCCCCAGCCTTGTTGCTTGCAGGTGCCCCACACGACGTTTTCTATCAGAGCTCGGAAGAATTCGCGATGCTAACAGCTATTTAGAACAACAGAAAAAGCCCTCACATCGACGCCGATCGCCTGCACGCCAGCCACGAACGCAACCATTCAAGCAAGACAAAGGTTTCGACCGTCCGAAAATCCATTGCGCCGAGCCCGCTCCCAACCCTGACGAGGCCTGAAGCTCTTTGTCCCGGAGCTCGGGAATGAAGTTGCCGGTGCGGCCGGCCAAGAGTTGCAGAAAGATCGCTCGGTCGCTGGGAGGCCATAGGCAGTAGCCTGACATCACCAGAGCCAAGCCTGCCAAGAGACTGGTCACGAGCAGCCAGCGGCTCCAGCATGCGTGTCGGCGCCATTACCGAGCAGCCTAAGCCGGGTATAATGGGTTCCTCGAGTTTCCCTGGTGGCGCCGCTTGAGGCGCTCTAGCAGCAGGTGCCGCAGTTGGTAGCAACGCTCTACATGCACTGCTTGATAATTATGTGCAGGAGCTAGAAAGAGTAGATATCTGTGCAGGACACGAAGGCACTATGGCCATCCTTGTTTATGCCGGTTGATAGAATGATCGTTAAGCTTTCCTTTCAGAGCC